GAGGAAGCATTTCTGTTCTCTTCCTTTAACCCTTAAATACCCAAGATCTGATTGTTAATTCTCCTTTCCTAGTCGCTTCACATTTACTTGTAAATAAGTTATGAGAATTTGATGCGAGATTAAGATAACTTCTGCCAGGTAACTTTCAGTATTATCATTATCTGTTTGCTGGATAGTGTTTGGATATTATAGGGAGAAGTTACATGAATCAGTCACTTTTGGGAGTTTTTAAATTTTCTAATATTTTGGTCTGATTCTTTCAATGCTGTCTTGCCACCTAATAAATTACTATGAGTCGTGAACTGAAATGGTTTTCAATGTATCACGAGCATAAGTTGTCCTGGGCCAGATGAGTTTCAAAATATTATGACATCTGTTAGTTACAGTTTCCCTCATGGGTTGATAGAAAGAAGGGTTATAATCAAGTGGTTCTACAGGCTCTATTGTATAGTTTCCCATAAGATACAATGTACAAATGGCAAACTAACATACATCTTGGTAAACAAAATGGGAGCAACTTTAACTGAAGAATATGGTACAACAACAAGTACCACATCAACAACAGCAGCAATAACAAATCTCCTCTACCTGGAGGGCTACAGCTTTTGTCTCGCTTTCTAAGCCATACTGAACAGCTTCTGCGGTACTTCCTATAATGCGTTCCTCTCAACACGATGTGGCGATATTCTCGTGAAACAACGGGGTATTCGTAAAGCTGAATGAAATTCATCTCGGGTAAATTACGGAGATCGCTCGACCATCCAAGGGCTGAAATCCTCTCCATAGTTGCTTCGTATTTGAAGTCGCTCTGGTTTTGTTCTAGGTCCTGGACTTCTGTAAGAAGTTCTCAGTTTTCTCCACTACTCGATGGAAGGACGTGTTACATCAGCAAAGCATAAATTTTCGACACGATAGGAGTGAATAAATTAACTTTTCGGACACGATAGGAGTGAATAAATTAACTGCAAGAGGTATCGTAGCAAGATATGCGAGAGAAGGACGAATCGCAGAAAGACCGCGTGGTGGACAAAACAACGTTCGCGTCGATGAAGAAATGAAAGAATCTTTAAGTGACATCGTCAATGAAAATTGCCTTCTGACACTGTCACAAATCAATCAAGAGTTACGCCAACGTTTGCGAAATAAGCATGAAATCCACGACCGCACGGTCTCGAGGACCTTGCAAGGTATGCTGTATCGAGTGAAACAAGCGAGACCTCTACCAGCTGAGAGAAATCGACCAAATGTGATCCATAAACGATACGACTACCCTTGTTGGTTTATGAGGCATGCCGTGGTGAACCACTGTGTTTTCATCGATGAATGCGGCTACAATATATTCACTACTAGAAACCAAGGAAGAGCCAGAACCGGAGAGAGGGCGTACAGCTAAGTTTGCGGGCAAAGAGGGCGAAATGTTACCGTGGCACTTGCCATTTCTTTAACCAATGACCTCGTATCTTATCCATCAACTATCGGTGGTATGAATGCGCAGAGGTTCAGTGACTTCTTGGCTCAGACAAGGCTGAACCTCGACCCTAATGAAAACGTCATATTTATATATGATGGTACACCTGCTCACCATAACCCCGCTGATTCCGGGCAAATTACAGAACTCAAGAAACTGCCACCATATAGTCCTTTCCTCAACATTGTAGAACAAGGTATCAGTTCGTTAGAGGCAGCCATTAAGACAGATATTAGCCGCCCAGACGTGCAACAACAAATGAACGCACGCGAAGAAGCCAGGCGACAGCGAAATGTCGGAACAATAACCCCAGCTAAATGAGGACAGTGGCTCCGTTTTATGCAGACATACCTGCCTCGTTGTCTAAACAGAGAGCAAATTGAAGGATAAATAACTCTGTACACTTTTATTTTTTTTACAGAGTGTGCGAACATGCTTCCTTTCTCCAAGTTGTAATGATTGCTCTATGTTTGTTAATGTTGTTTTGCACCATGCTATTGTTTGCCTGTGTTAAAAAAACGACTATTCCATTCACATTATTGTTTGTGTTAATTGCTCGAATGAATTTTAGGGATTATGGAAATTGTTCTAATGAAAGTCCATTTTCAACGATAGATTGTCCATAAATGCTAGGCTTCGTCAGTTCGTGCTATTGACGTTACATTCCATGTGTGCGAATGTCCAAAGGTGCTATAGATTCCACCTTGAAGCTATTGAATGTTCATCCATATATTAAACGCACTATTGAAGTTTACTTCGCTTAAATGAAGTTTAGTATGGCGCTAATGAATGTACTGTGACTTTATTGAACCAACGCTAAGCACAAATGAATGAATTTTTTTGCGTCAATGACTAGCGAAATGTGTATTAAAGGCCAATAGTTGATTGATGTCTTCTTCCAAAAGTTGTAAGCTTTTTAGGTTTAAGTATATAATTTCTATTGTTGACATTTACACTTTTCATCACATCACAAAAAATATGTCGAAAATACAGTATTCATTATAATTTGAGTTCAAGTTCTTTAATTCTTTCTTTTTTTTACCTCTGTTTAGAGACAGGAGTGTCCCCAAATGTCGAACCATTCTCGCTGTGGAGACATATCAGGGATTTTCTCTATCGCTCTCATCCTTCGACAGGTAAAAAACATTTAACAATGGGCACGGAAGTAATCAAATGATTTTTTTGATAGTTCAGCGATCTAAGTTTAATCTATGTTCATTTGTCCTTTTAGTGTACCACCATGTTAAAACAGTTCGTCTGTGGCCTCGGTTAACATTTGGTATGTTATTGTCCATCTCGACCCAATTTACGGAACACGCTGCTATTGTTGTGTATGACATAACAAAGAGACGTTCATTTGAGGAAGCAAAGAAGTTCGTTGACGGGCTCGCTCTACAGGTCTGGACACGGCCATGTGTCTTTGTAGCTCTTGTGGGGAATAAAGTAGATTTTGAATTTAGCAGGGAGGTGTCCTTTAAGGTTAGTAATGTGGTCATGTTTGTATGATGGCATTGTACTACATGTGCTAAACATGAAATCACTTAGGACAGGCTTTTTTTTCATGGTTTTTGTAGAGAAAGATGCCAATCATGATTGAGAAAGGATGGTAAAGTGAGGTGGTTTATGAAAGCTCTTTAGATGATTTTTGTGTGATTTCTTATTATGTCCTTGGTATCAAATCATTATGTAATTTTATTGGTCGGGGTTTGATCGGGTTGCATCTTATGGAAAAGAATGCATTTCTAGTAAATGCCTATTTACACTGCGACTCTATATGTATCTTGCCGTACTGATGACAACAGTGCTTCACAAGACTACATTTCTTTTCCCTCTAATTCCAAAATTAACTCGGAGTTATTCCAGAAATGCAACTCACACACGCTGGTACTTTGTGGTGGGAGATTTCGACTTTATAATTTGTTCTTTCAGGAAGCTCAGGATTATGCAGTTGGAACCAATTTTGTTAGGATTTTTATGGAAGTTTCAACACTAACAGTTGAAAATGTGGTAGACCTTTTCTTCGAAATAGGTAAGTAGAATTGGCTATTCATTGATCTTCAAGGGTAAGGTGAGTTGATAACGCAGGTTGGCCACTGTAAAGAGCTGAAAAGCTGACGTTTCTAGCGCTAGCCCTTCGTAAGAGCGACTGGAGGAATTGTAGGTTTTATGTGCGTTTCTATGCAGAAAATGGAGCAACGCTATTTCTAGGAATATGGTGACGAGAAAAAAGACTAACTTAGTTGAATGAAAAGCGCTCGTTGATACCGTGGGGATTAAGAGTGTTGATTTGAAAGATAAATTTTTGTTCAAGAGTTTTCAATGTTTTACCAATGCATTACTTTTTGCAAAAAGTTATGCATCGGCGAAACATCGTTAAAATCGACAATCTTAATCCCCACGGTATCAACGAGTGCTTTCAATTCAACCGGCCGTGGGGATTAAGAGTACCTGGGTTGAAGGAGAATTCCCTAGTATGCGTCGGCCAAAGACGACACAGTTGGAAGAAAATATGCAACCACATATTGTAATGTTATAGAGAATGCTTTGTAAAATATCACATACTCCACTCTTGCATGAAGCCAGACTTGCTGATAGCTTGGAGCTTGCGCCATGACATTGAACGAAAAGCATTGCCGAAAGCTTCAGAAAGTCTACTAACGCCATTCCTGCAGAGTGACCATTGCCGAACACTTCTTTCCATTAATGGAAATGAGAACACTTTCAGTGGATAGGCCTTGACAGAAATCTCATTATTTCTGCAGTCAAGTATTCGTAAATAATTTGGCAGACCTGTTGTTAATTATAATTCTATTAAGATCAAAGAAGAAAAAAAAATAGATGAGTTACAATTGTATCTCTGTTGTGGTAGCGGCTGTTTCTATGAAACATGTGCTTGGATAACAAGCGGTGATTCTTCCCCCCCTCCCCCCCCCGGAAAAAAGAAAACAAGCTGGGAATGGCAGAAAAAATTTTTTATGTTTGCCAGAAGAAAAAGGGAGTATGACTTTTTGTTCTTAGTGTCAAAACTAGGTTGCTCCTGTTCTCTATACCAGTTATATCAATTTATCTGAGTTGTGTTTAGTTCTCTTAATATGAGACTCCAGCACTTCTTTCCTGTTAAGTAAGGTTTCCAGGAATAGTTCGTCAAGAAAGACGTTTTGTGTAATAGGTGTAAGCATTATTTAAGATGTAGAAGGGAGACTGACATGGAGTTGTCATTTGGTGTTTAGTTTTTTCTAATAATTTTTTTTTTGTAGAGAATCTTTTAATTGCAGCCGGATTCGTTATCGACGAAAAGTTGCCTGTCACACAAAAAGCTGTGGATCTAAGTAAGAGAAATTTGGGCAGCAATCCCTTACATTTTCTCGCAGCCATGCTTTTAGTTAGCCTTCAGAACCTTTCAGTTGCAAATATTCACACGCTGAATCTGAGCTACAACAATTTGGCAGAGATACCTGATATTTTTCTACAATTGGTAAACCTGACGTGCTTATATGTGAATGACAACAGACTTTCCTCTCTGCCTGAAAGTATGAGACGTTTAAAAGGACTTCAAGAGCTGGACTTAAGAAATAACCAACTGAAGGGACTTGATGTGGTTAGAGAACTGCCTAAACTTAAAAAACTATTGGTTGAAGGAAATCCGTTCACACTAGAGGAGATCAGAAGTCTTATGAAGCATGTGCATACGACTACAAGAACGATCTACGTAGACATCGCAGGTAGTGTTACATATAAGTATGGCAATAAATCTTTTGCATACTCAAGCACAACGTTATCTTGGTGTAGGGATTGTGTGTCTTTAGCGCTGTGGTGATTTTTATCTCAATTTAGAGTTTTTGAAGGAATTTCTCTGTAAAGATTAGAGCTTCAAGTAGGTCAAGCCTGTCTTTCCGTTGTCGCGTAGAGATCCAAATTGGCGTATACGGTCGACTCCCGTTATTGCACACGCCTTGGGGGGAAGGGAGGGGGGAGAGGGAGATTTCGCGCCCGTAAGAGCGAGAGAACGTAATAGCGGGGTACGAGAGAAAAAATTGTTTTGTCGCGAAACAAATGAAATAATATGTAACTACGCAAGAATAAAGTTTCTTACGTGGCCTTACGAACCAGAAAAAGATCTGGCCGCGAGCAGGAAAATCTCGTGTTTGCATCCAATTGAAGAGTCGTTTCTTTGTTTTCCTTCATTGTAATGTCGCTTTATATAATGAGTCAGAATTTTGGACAGTGTCCGTTCTGGCTGGAGAAAAAACAGGTGAAATGTTGCACTGGGGGGCATGAAAGTGTCCACATTTCCGTAATAGCGAGAGTGCGTAATAACGAGAGTACATTTCAGTCAATTCTTCATGCGTTTCGCGGGGGGCCTGGTGCTGGGGGTGTCCGTAATGGTGAGGTGTCCGTACAAAGAGAGTCGATTGTCCACTTAGAAATGTAACCTTCACCTACTCTTTTAATTATTATGATCACCGATTGATGCTAATTTGTATCGTTGCAAGCTTCGTCTGATAATCCCTTTGTTATTTCAAGAGAGTTTGTGGGAGTGTTTAATTCAAATTTGCCATGCAATCGTTCTGGCTCTAGAGTCTCTGGGTCTGCACTTGAAGCAGGATTAACCGTTGGAAGCAGGCTGGTTTTTTTGTTGAATACAGTGTTCGTGTACTGTAAAACTTTAAAAACCTTTTTGCAGGCATTTCAAGCCAAAAATGGTACAATAGAACCTGGCTTGAAGGCTGATTATGCAAGAAAGATGGAAAATCCCATCCTTATTTTACAACAAGAAAATGTTGAGGAAGTTTTATGTGACAGATTTAACTAAAATTTTGAAAAAGTAATTTTCTCTTCTATCAAGAACCTTTAATCTTGTGGCGGTTGATGTGACTTTCATGGAAGTTTTCTTCAGTAATGTGCTCCTCGTGTTTCACGTATCACTTTTCACAAGGTCGTGATGTATTGTAGAAATTTTTCTCACTTTGCTGTTCTACAATAGGCAATTAGTACAATATTAAATTTACCTTTTCTCTCACTTGCAGCTGTAGCTCCTTCCGAAATTTTGGCGCAAGGACCTTCCGCAAGGCTGGTTTATGAAGAGGCCCTTAAAGATGGATTTGTGAATGTTTATCGTGGTCGCATAGTATTGGTTGGCCAGGATCGTGCCGGTAAAACAAGCTTAAAAAAGACTCTCCTAGGCCTCCCATTTGACTACCAGGAACAGAGTACGGACGGAGTCGAAATTGAGCCGTCAAAGTTTGAAATTGAAGTGAAGCAAATCCAGAACTGGACTCCTAGTTGTGCGAACGAGTCAAGTTTGTCTGAAAGTTTGGAATATACAACATTTGTAGCAAAATTGTTAGCGAGAGAAAGATATCACATGATTGTTCGTGATGAGATGGAAGACTCGGAAATGAAATCAGTGGGGGCATTACCCAAGGAAGAACGTAGCGTGGAGTCAAGAGGGGAATTGCACGCAAAACATGTTGTTGCCGATCAGGTCTGTTAACAAAGTTTTAACTGTGAAACCCGATTTGTTATGAATGATCTCAAACAGATTTACACATTAAATACTCATTTCAGTGTTTTAACATAATGAAATAGATATCGACATCGGCTGTGTGAATGAGAATGCATCAACAATGTAATTTCTATCGGAATTTGGTATCCACAGTATTGATATTTCGCCTTATTTCAAAATGTTAGGTTTCCGTGTACGAGGATTTGGCCACTAAGTGTCCCGACAAATCCAGGCCATTAGGCGAAAATCGCGAAGGAGATAATCTAAGCACAAAGCCCAAAATTGCTATCAATGCCACCGCACTTCCTAATGCACGTGCCGTTAAAATACATGCTGATGAACTCTTAAAGGACATGGTCCTGGAAGGTGTGGATGCTGATAGTGCAAACATCAAGAAAGGATCCACGATAACCGCAGATGTGTGGGATTTTGCGGGTCAACATGTGTACTATGCTGCTCACCCGGTATTTCTTTCGTCAAGAGCTGTGTACATCGTAGTTCACAACCTTAACAAGCCACTGGATGCCCAAGCTCAGCCATGTGTAAGACAGGGAACTCATGAAGTAACTTTGGAGAACCCGAACAAGGAGACCAATCTGGAGAATTTGCTGTCGTGGCTCGCGACAGTTCATAATATGACACCAACAGGAGAAGAAATGGTTGAAACGCCTAACGTGCTGTCCTATCTCCAACCTCCAGTGTTCATCGTCGGCACCCATGCTGACAAGCCATATGAAGATAGGAAGGATGTTTCATCCAAGATACTTCGTGAGATTTCCAGTAAGGAATATGGAAAACATGTGATCCGACCATTCTTCTACATTGATAACACTCAAGGACACAAATCATTCGCATGGAAATTCCGGAATTTCTTTAAATTTCAAAGAAATTGTCAAACAGGTAAATTATGTGTTTGGGTTCAACATGATGATTAATGACGTGTTTATCGGTTAATGAGGTTGGGTTTAATTTTATTTCTATCGAGGACAGACAAAATCATCGTTAGATAAAGTTGATTGGATTCACTGGAGATTTTACCGGTTGCTTTTCCACGTCTAATTTCTAGCATCCTTTTGTCCCTATCTTGGTACTTATCTACTTTTGATGTTGGCACCTTGTTGGTGCTCCCGTTATTCCTGGAATTTTTTTTTGCATGTATTTTCTCTTTTTTTTCCTTTTTTCTTGTGTTAACCTGAATTGTATATGTAAATACCATAACGAATGTTTTTGAAGACCAAATTAGTGTGAAATTTATAATACATTGCGAAGAAGTGACTTAGAGTGCTGCAGCAGAAATAGACCTTTCCGAATACGAAATAGGGGATCATGGTCTTAGTTGCAATCAAACTCGTATCGAAAGTCCGAGGAGAAATCTCTGTTCATCCCTGGCTTCTCTCAACAGAACTAATTGTTTTACATAATTTATAATTGAAAGGTCAAGAAGGAGACAATGATGGCACTGATGCTGATGGAATTCATGCTCTTCGATAGAGAATCCTGGAAGTACTTCGACAGGAACCTTATATGGGAGAGAAGATACCAGCTAGGTAAAGTATGATGTGTAATGATATAAGCACAAAGAGATGTTCAGGTCATTTTTTTCTAACAACAGCTGTACTGAAACGTACGAGTGGCTTTCATAGCTGGTTTCGTTACTTGTCGAGTTCGCTACGTTCAAGTTCGCTACATGTTCGTTACTTACATGCCGAATTCGCTACTTACTTCATTCTACCACAGTAAATTATGCTCACATTATGAGCATAATTTACCAATTCTCACAGATGATTTACGGGAACTTTTGCGGCTCATACTTGAAGAAAATTCTTCCAAGTTCAACGAAAGATTCTTCATACAAACACATGGCATCGCCATGGGAGCTAAGACACCAGTTGCTTTCCCTGCCATTTTATGGCAAACCTAGAAAAGCGACTGTTAATGGCTAGTCCCTTTAACCTTTGGTCTGGAAGAGATTTATTGATGACATATTTTCACTGTGGAACATTTCTATGCAAGACGCTTACAATTTTGTTGACTTTGCCAATTCGTTCCACCCTACAATCAGGTTTACTTGTAAAACGTAACCTCGCAACAATCCAAAAAATCAAAGTAGCGGTTTAAAGCACACAAGAAGGCAATTTGCATATGACCAGTTTAACTGACTCCTAAAAACGGCAATCACGCAGTTGGGAGTATAAATTACAGATATTGCTTGTGGTTTATGGTTAAAAGAGAAATTAAAACTGTGAATTAACAAAGGCAGCGAATTGGGCATGTTAGAAGCGAACATGTAGCAAACTCGACGAGTAGGGAAACAGGCGTAAAGCGCTTTCAAGACGACGAATTTTTCAGTGCTTAACAACATGCTACCATTACTTGTGGATGTAATATATCCTCAAAAGATGCTCAACCGGCTATTAAGCCATATTCTAAAGTTACATTTAGAAATTTCCAAACTTTGCTACATGCAATTTGCTATCTGATGTATACCTTTCTGTAAGTTAGACTAATTATAAATTTTTTATATTTCTAGATGGTTTAACTTCGAAAAGGTCATTGGAGCTTTGGTAGCTGAGAATGTATACCACTCAAATACTGTCCATCTTCAAACCTATGCCAAGAATGTATGTTTTATAGAAGACGATGAACAGTTTCACACCATGCTGAATTTCTATCACGACTTAGGTTTGATTGTGAAACACCGCAGTACAGTCATTCTGAAGGCACAGTGGTTGATCAGTCTATTCAAGAAGCTTATAACCATTCCAGCATTCAAAAAAGCGGTAGGAAAAGATAATCTTCTATGCGTCGAGATGATTACAGATCGTAGGCAGGATTTGTTACCTTCCCCCAACTTGCGCTTGACGAAAAAATGTTAATTTAATTGACTGTTTGTTGGTTTTTTTTTTCACGTTGTTTACACCCCTTACAACATTTTGAGTTTTCTCCATAACTTTCATGTGTCTCCCACTCTCCCTCATTTCAATATTGACAAAATGGTCACTAATTTATTACGACATCGTTTGAGGGTGGGGAGGTAAGGGGGAAATTCAATAAACTAATTAGAGATGAATAACAAGATTTTTCTTATTATATTGACTCATTTCGGGAGGCTTGCCAACTACATTTTACCACTCATTGTACCCTTAGTAATGAGGAACGGAGAGATGTTTGAGGAACTTAGTAATGAGGAACGGAGACGCTGCAAATTAAAAGGGGCATTTTTAAAGAAAAATTGGTAGATTGAACTTATTTTAAATAGGGAATTTGTGGTTTCAGGATCCTGTGCATTCCAAGTACTGGCTGGAACTCGAGACAAGTGGTGTCCTTAAGATGGAGCTTGTTGATCACGTTTTTTCCCCTCTTATTCAGCAAGGCGTTATCAAGGAAGACATCTTGGACATGATGGAGCAGTTTGGTTTGATTGCCAAATACTCACCATCCCCGGCTGACGTTAATTACTTTGTGCCATGTCAACTGAGGTCCTCACCGGAAGAGCTTTGTAAAATGGAGCCATCATCTACGGATCCTTGTCCTTTGTATCTTCATTTTCAAGAAGGCTTTGTTCCGCATGGTCTTTTTACTCGCCTTGTTTCAAAATCGGTTGCTTGGTGTGGTACAAATGGATCGTCACAGCCTCCAAAACTCTACCAGAATGGTGCATGGTTCATTCTTGAAGAACGCGTCATACATGACATGATCATGATTTGCAAAAAGAAGTTCATAAAAATCCTCTTGAGGCAAAGAATTAAGAAGAACGTAGTTGCAGTTTCTAATTCAACTTTGGTAGAAGTTGCTAGAAGTGTGCGATTGTTTATGGAGAGCACTTTAGAAAAGATGTCGCAGGAGTTCCCATACCTGAGCAGGATGCAGCATGAATTTTGTGTTGAATGCCCCTACTGTCAGCAAAGCGGTCGCAAGTGCGTAAATCACAACCAAGTGTCCTGTGGAGAAGAAGACTGCTTACACCTGCTTGAATTAAGGCAAGGACAGGATTTTATCTGTATGGAAAACATATCTAATGAAGTACTTACAGTTCCTGGACAAGAGAAATGGTTGTTGAACCAGGTATAAAGCATTCTTTGTATGTCTTCGTTCGTAAGTAGTAAGGGAAACCAATTAAGAAGAGCTTATGATAGCTGCAATGATATCACATTGTGCGATGGCAGTCGCATGAATCGGAATACCCAATTTAGAAAATCTTGGAACAGATTGAGATCTAATGGTGTCATAGAGGGATCTTGCTTCATCGAGCTCCTAAATTCAGCAATGGATATACTGTGTGAGATTGTATGTTTTGCAATTGTGTAATTACCTTTTTGGTTGATTCAAGACATGTATGAACGCGTTCAACCAGTTCGTTTCCTTCCGTCTGGTTTATAATTTCTTGATGGGAAAAAATAATATTTTTCTCTAACAGAAGTAAGTTTTTTTTTATGAAAACTGTTTTATATACCTTACTTGGAAAATGATATGCTTTTCCTTTATAAAAATGTTTTTATGTCATTATCCAAAAGGGCTTGGCTCCTACAGAAATAAGAACCTCACAAGTTGCATCAGTGCGTGGTCACCCGGCAAAGTGCGACAAAACTTTGAAAGTTACTCTACTTGCCAATGAGTGGAATTCGTCAAGGGGGGGTTTGTCCACCATCAACAGACACCTTGCCATCCTTATGGCCGAACGTAATGAGGTAGAAGTCACTCTCTTGGTCCCACAATATGCTTGTTCTGAAGAAGAGAAGAGAATTGCAGAAAGTCACAAGATTGTCATCAAAGAAGCAGAGAGACGTCCAGGCTACGATCCTCTTGACTGGTTGAGCTTCCCTCCGAAAGAGCTGATAATTGACGTGGTCCTGGGTCATGGAGCCAAGTTAGGTAAGCAAGCCCAAATCATTAGGGAGTCCCATAGTTGCCAATGGGTACAAGTAGTGCATACTGCGCCTGAAGAGCTCGGAATGTTCAAAAACTATCCGAGAGCCATTGCCAAAGGAGAAGAGAAGACTACAGCCGAAGTAGATTTGTGTAAATTGGCAAATCTAGTTGTAGCAGTAGGACCCAAGTTGACGGAGGCCTACTCTGCCTATCTTCGCTCATGTGAGAAGCAGCAAGATATAATGTCGTTCACTCCTGGCACGCTTAAGGAGTTTTCTACTCTAAATCATGCCTCAGTTGACTCTGCAAAGTTTAGGGTGTTGATCTTTGGTCGTGGTGACCCTGAGGACTTCCGTCTTAAGGGGTGTGATATCGCTGCTAAAGCAGTAGCGGAACTGAAAGACAACTCCTACCATTTGATCTTTGTGGGTGCACCTAATGGCAAACAGGAGGCAGTTGCGGACGAGTTTGTGCTGAAAGGTATTCCTAGAAGTCAGCTGACAGTGAGAACGTTTTTGCAAAGTAAGGAGAAATTGAAAGATTGTTTTTGTGAAGTTGATCTCTGTATCATGCCATCCCGGACGGAAGGGTTCGGCCTAACCGCGTTGGAAGCCTTGTCAGCTGGTCTTCCCATTCTTGTAAGTGGAAACTCGGGTTTCGGAGATGCACTGCGCACAGTACCATGTGGCACATCCTTTGTGGTTGACTCTGAGGACCCCAAAGCGTGGGCTAAGGCAATTGATGGTGTCCGAAAGATGAAGAGATCACTGCGTCTTAAAGAGGTTGAACAACTCAGGACATCATATGAAGAGCAGTTCAGCTGGGAGAAACAATGTGACCTTCTCGTTGATTTGATGTGGAACAAAGTTCATGGCGTAGGTATGTTAATAATTTTTATATTTCTTTCCGTAGACTTTTCTTTCGTTGTGTTATCCAAATGTATCCTGCCATTGATGTGAATACATTTTCTATCTCGAAATAGGTTTCTAAAACACAGCATGATTGAGATCTTTAAATGTTTGTGTATAACGCCGATGTTCATCAAAAAGGAAACGATTTGTACAAACTGATAAGAGTGAGAAAGGAACAAGCAAGAGCAAAAGAAACGTCTAAAACCACTTTTATCCATCACAAGTTTAATTAACTTTCTTGATATAAGTGTATTACCAAACGTTAATGCTTTAGCGGGACAAATGTCATATTGTCTTATAAGCTCAGGTTAAAAGTTATCTACTCCAGTTATTCACAAGCAATAATTGCTTTCGTTGCAGCATAATTATTTTTTTATGAAAAAAAAACCTAGGGATGTAAAATGTTAACTGGCAAGTCTAGACTATTACCTGCGACTTCCTATTCCAATACTGTTTATCGTTCTCGAATCAGAAGACAGCGTTTGCTAAATAAATGAAGTTATTGGCCTGTCTTCCGAACTCCTCGCCGTACTTTTTAATTTAAGTCTTCCCTTGTAGCTGAAAGAGGAGCCTGGCCCTCTCAGTGAAGATTTTGATCAATTTGTGTTCTCATGAAATTTTTTTCCATACATGATCCTTCTAATAAGGAAAGATTTCGTTCATTTGAGAGTAGCGCCCTCCATGAAACGAAATCAGAGTACCCCATTGGATAAGTGTCCCTCTCAGCCCTGATTTGGGCGGATTTGGCTCCACTTACAGGGCTGAGCCAGATCATACACAAGTTTCACGCAGCTTTCGGTGGTGATACCGGAAGAGTTCCCAGTGGGTGAAAAAATATTCACGGTGAACTGAAAATTCGGTCTTTAATGTGATGGATTTTTTTTCTCTGTCATAACTGAGACTTTCTCTTCCATCTACATTCTATGATTCTAGGAAATGCGCCTAAAATTATTTTACTTCCAGGGGTGCTTGAGCGAACCCTCCAGAATCTTCAGCGGATGCAACTCTGCGCAAGCACGGTCAACGACAACACTACCTTGACAGAGAAGTTAGCGACGATTGCATCAGATAAGGGCTTCAGAATTTCTGACAATCAAGGGTCAGGAAACTGCATGTTCCATGCTCTGTCAGATCAACTAGAAACCGTCAAAAGAATCAAAATCCAACATGGCCAGTTGAGACAGTCTTTAGTTCAGTACCTCAGGGAAAACCCAAAACTGGTGAGTTGCTGTAATGCTCAGAAGTAAATGAACTAGAAGTTCATCAGTAGTTTAATTACTGTGTCTATTTTTCTCTCCGTTACATGAAGTGCCACTCGTCCTTGCTGGGACACCAGTCACTTTCACACCAGACATCTTCAAGTATTTTTTCACGTTGGCCTTAAAATTTCTTCACAATTTTTCCACTCGTGGAGAGAGGCACTTTGACAGTAAGGTTTCTTCTCCTAGAGCTCGATAATACAGTCACTCTATATAAGATTATGTCGGAAGTTTGTCTTAGCTTTTGCTGTCTACCCACTGCGTTTGCTAAAAAAGTTATCACATACTTTTCTATTGTAAAGAAGTTAATTTTTGGGGAGTTTTCCTTAAATTGTGCTCGGCCCTGTTCAAAAGCTATTTGGAATTCAAGTATTAATTGTTGTCTCTTCTTACAGCCGGATGGAACAGATCTCCGTCACTTTGTCCATGAACATGAAACATGGGCTGATTACCTAACATACATGGAACAAGATGGCGCTTGGGGTGATCACCTCATTCTCTGTGCAGCAGCAAATTGCTTTAAAACGTGCATTCATGTGGTCAGTAGTATACACAATGATGTAGACATCAGGCCACATGGTGCTGTTGAAGAAAGCAAGCCTCTAGTACTGGGACATATTCATGAAGTACACTATGTCAGTCTTCAGCCCATACAAGGTAAGAGTGGGAAAGCACAGTACACGTACTTTTCAATTTGAAAATGATGAAGATCAATTAATATCCGTCGCGAAATTCGAAAACCTTATGTTTCCTACGAAAAGCACCAGCTTCGTGGAAGGGTCAACCCTCAAACTGTTAACTGTTCTCGAATCACTGCGATGGTTAGTTAGTTGATCTTTCTCAGAGATAACTGTGAGAATGAACCAAGCCTTCCACTTCCTTGCTGGAAAAACACACCAATGTATTTAGTAACTTGAAATGTACCATTGTTATCGTTTCATGAGTCTCGCATAATTATAAAATAAACTACAAGCTATGCCTTCAGTTTTTGTTTCCTTCTTATATATTTCAGTGCTTTTTAGGAATTAAAACAGTGTTTTTTTGGAGCGATATTTTGTAGTTTGTTTGAAAATATGAAAACAGAACAAACGTCCGGAAAGCAAATAATGTATTCATTTATCTGGTTCTTAAGCGATATTAAGATGTGCTATTTGTATTTGAACAATAGTCGCTTGGTAGGAGAACATTGTTAACCATACGCACTTAATTAAGAGGTATTCACGAATCACACTTGCTGAATGTACCTGAGGACCAGGGAAGGTATTGTTGTGAGAACACTTGCTTTCCACCATTGTGGCTGGGTTATATCCAGGACCTTGCTTTTCATGTCGGCTGAATTTGTTGTTGATCCACGCCTTTTCCGTCGGCGTTTTTCTTCAGGTTCTCCTTGTTTTTATTCTCATTAAATTGACATTCCGAATTCCAATCACTTTGTGGAAAACCATACCCTGGGAAATGTAAAATTTTTGTTCATTAATTTTGATTTGTTTTTTCTTGATGCATTTACAGGCTAAAGTAAAGTTTGACGGCGGTTATGGCTACAAACTAGAAAGACCTTCACGAAGAAACAGAACGCAAAAAGAAAAAAATTCGAAGTTTTAGGAATTTCTCTCACGAAACTCTAGTTTTAGCCAAAAAGAAAGCTTTAGACGAGATATAGCTTTTAGGAGGTCGTAAGTTTTTCGGTTTGGATGAGCTTAAGTCACTGAATAGCTATCGAGTTTTCATGGTTTGATTGAAATTTTGATATAGAGTAATTCTTAACTGAGCGTAAAAAGTAATCCAGTACTGCTTTGGTTTTCTTTATTTCGGTCTGTGATTGGTCTAGAAACTCGCACAATGTGCGAAACAAATCAGACGCCAAACGAAAAAGAATCGTCACTGGTCATTTGCCCCCAATTTCTGTAGTTTGAAACCTTATTGGCTAATAACGATGCAAAACTTCGTTATTATTGGCTGTTCTTATTACTTTGGTTTGAAAATTGCTCCAAAAAGCCATGAATCACTAATTGCAATTTTTACTCCTCTCATCGCGAATTTCTGTTCAGCAATTATGGAGCATGGTTCATTGTACTTTGGTGCCGCCGTTATGTGTTCACTTCTACAAGCTGAACGTGACGGTTTGCTCTACACTGTAGTGCTTGGAGTGATATTTATCATTTGCCTTTATTACATATTAAAAGGGGAACAAAGCTAATTTGCATAGATAATACATGGGAAATATAAAATAGGAAAAGGAAAAGGAGAGGAAGTTTGAAGAAGCCATGAAGGCTTCTAAGTGAAGCTCCCTTGAAATAAGAGTTTAAGTTAAACTAGAATGTAGAACGTAATTTAACAAGTGTAAAGTACGAATTACGGAAGTCGTGGAATGCAGTACTATGGTGGTTGTCGATCACTTTTGGTATCTGCCTTGGAAAAGAACGCCAGCGCCCTGGGGAAACTTTCGAATTCCTCACCGTGAGAGACTTACGGCAGACAATGCTATCGTGAGTATGATGTTTAAGTCTGCCGCCATAATACTCTGTTAACGGCTTGTTATTATTTACTCAATTTATTTACTTGCAAAGCGATTCCTTTTAAAATTTGCTAATGTAGTTTGCCATTTAGACGTCAGTTCCACTGATGATTGAGTGGCTTTTTTACAAGTATGTCTCTTGCAATTGAAACACGTTATCAGAACTGTATGCACTAGCTTTGTGGTTTAGTGGTAACTATTTAGATGCTATATATTATCAGTTTAGCAATAAAGATTTTCCTTTTGTTTTCTGTAATCTCCTACTTTGTACTTTCCTCTCTCGAACATGAAACACCTATCGAAGGAAATTTTTGGGAGAACTCAGTTCAAATGGGCTAAAATCTCTAACGAGGCTGAAACGGAAATTCTTGATTATATTTTCGAAGATAAA